GTACTAAAAAATTGGATCGAGCTAGCATTAAAAAAAAAAAAGAATTCCAAGACTAGCTAGCAATCATCTGCCTAATTTAATTTGACTCACTTTTGTTGCAGTTTTCTAATCCAATTCGATGATGGATTAGAGTTTTATTATATAATAATGCTTAATTCTGTGGTTTCAATTCAAAACCAGTGAATATATCAATAATTTTTAAGTTTTCTGGTTTCAAATCAAAACCACAAAACTGTATTAAGCTATTATTGATTTTTCAGCTAAGATATTATACTGATGCTAGTCAATCTATTAGCATTTAAAATTAGTCCAAACTGTTGTAGTGATAAGAAGTTATGTTCTAAAAAATAAAAAATTTGTATTTTTTACCATTCATGAAAAAACTTTATCATTTACGTACTTTTGTGTGTAAAAAATTGGATTTTTTTTGTAAAAAAAATAAGGATAAAGTAATAAATAAATGTGGTACATAAGAAGACGACAAGCAATGATGGAAAGAATAATGTGAATATTATTCGTAATTATTAATTTTTCCATTAATATTATTGATATATTTACATAAAATAAGAAAAATTTAATATTCTAACTATTATAATGTCACCAATATTAAATTTGGTTTTGAAACCATTGAAGCTTGCTATACCGTTTATATTCTTATGCGGCTTATGTTGTCAATCAACAAAGATATCACTTATGGTCGCACAAACTTGAATACGTCGATTGTATAATGTGCCAATGTATTACTAAAGTGAATCTTTTCGTAAATTTTAGTGTTACATTATAAAAGTAATGTCGGAAGTCGAAGGTAAATAATTAATTCTAGGTGTTGGTCCTAGGTTTAACGACAAATATATTATATTAAATTTTATAAAATTCGGTTCGTTTATTTGTTCTGGTATGATGGGTATTCTTAACTCTCATCATCTTCATGTGCATTGAATTTGAACACCCTTACACATCAAATCTTGACTTCTTTTTTCCCGGATACGATTTTGGGTTGTAATCAAATGTAAATTTAAGAAAATGAATTTCAACAAAATAAATAAGCTTAGGAAAACTTTACTAGGGATACTGTTAATCCATTTTAGTTAATCTGTTTTGTTGACAACATTCATTGCTGGTTTGGACAGGATGATATGAAATAGAAGAATATGTATCCTTTTAAAATAAATTTAATGAAATAGAAAAGTACTTATGTATCTTTTTGAAATTTCTTTGAAATGAAAAATCTCTCAAATATTGTAACTTATTTAACGAATTCAGAAATCTAGTATGAAATGACAAGCTAAACTCTACGTTTGTCTGTGACAAAAAAAACTCTATGTTTGTCTTCAATAATAATTTTTGTTAGTATTAATAAAACTCATGCTCAAACTAGTGTACTCTCCAACACTTGAGGTACAAGTTTATCCCCACCCCACTTATTTATATCTAATATTTAACACATGATCGCAATTATCTTCTTCGTTAGGTATTATTTTGTACGTCTAACTTTGAAATTTTGATCATATAAATTTGTAATAGTACTTAATAATGTATCATTAGAAAAGGTCAAAATATTGTTGACTTCTTAAACCAACAAAAAAGTTGCCGACTTTCCGATAAAAAGAGTAATGGACCGTGTGCAAAATTCCTTTATTTATTATTTTGTCAGCAAAGTCATTTATTTACATACGTTAATTTTTAGTCGGCAAAAAAAAAAAAAGTTAATTTTTAATCTGTTCTGGTAATTCCACGTGTCATTCAAGTGAATTACCACGTGACATCTTTGTCCACGCATTGTGAGATGGACTTCCACCTGCTTCACTCTTCCCCTCGATAAATTCAATTTCTT